GTAAAGCAGTAAAGTAAAACAATGTTCACACATGATTCGTCAAAAATCATTCATAATTCATCCATTTTGCCGATCAGTTCACGCAATTTTCCGCTCGCTTTTGCTTCATTAAGCGCTTCATCAACCATGATTTACACTTGAACCATGATTTACATTTGTGAATGCAAACTCATCACAAGTATTATCCATTTATCCTATTAGGTTGGAAAGAAAGTTCTCGAAAAAAGTTTGACTGGAATTTCTTAAAAACGAATCCACCGATTCAAGAACATTCCTTTTTGTTCTATCATTTCCGTCGACATTTCCGTCGTCGACAAGTCGACTCCAAGAAATTACTCGTAAAAAAAAAAACGAGTGCAGCTTTCCTTGAAAATTTTAGAGATTCTTGAAAAATGATTATTTTCCAGCTTAAATTCAGCTCACTTTTTTGCATCAGAAAAAAGGATTTCTTATGAAATAAAGCTATGATAGAAATAGCTATAATAGAAATAGAAATAGGTATAATATTACTAATCTATAATCTCTATTTTTAGCCAAGAAATTTTTTACAAAGAAGCTGTATTTTAAAAACTGATTTTTTGATGTCATCTTCTTGGCATCAAGTGTTTACTAAAGGAGATTATTCTGAAAAGTTAAAGCATTCAATTAAATTTGCCTTAATCACAAATTTTCCCTATTTTAAGTACTTGATTTTAGGTTTTGAATAGGATCCATTGCCTATCCATTAACCCATTAAAAACTTATTTAAAAGTGACCAAGTCACTTCAGCTAAAGAAATCTCTTATTTTTTTACCTAAAGCTCACTCTGATTTTTTGTCAAAAACTTTTAGAAATCAAGTCAAGTTTATCAAAAAAATGTGGGAAGAATTGATGGGTTGGTTCTTGGGAAATCATGGTGCAAACTTTCTCCGAGAACTTCCTTTCCAACCTAAGATAAACCTTTCCAACCCTAGATCTAGAAAATCAACTTCGAACTTCATTATTTCATGTTTTTGCCTTTTTTTATTGAGCAACTCGCTCTCCTTTTTCTAATTTTGGACTCCCAGTTAGTGACCGGAAAAGCGGCTCGATTTTCAATTCTTTCCCCTTTTCCCCATTCCTTGAGTCTCCTTTTGACCCATCCTAGTGGGACTCAATAAAACTCCCCAAGAAGCACAAATGGACCATGACTTTTGCTGTTTTTAATCAGAAAAAAAAAGAATTCTTAATCTTCTCGAAAACTTTTTGATTATCTTGATTTTCTCTTAAATCTCCCACTTGATAAGCAAGACAATCTTTAAGCTATTCGGTTAAACAGCTAAGCAAAACAATCTTTAAGCTATTCGGCTAAGCAGCTAAGCAAGACAATCTTTAAGCATTTTTATCTCAATTCAATTCTAATAAGCTATTCGGTAGTCCAGGGTGATTTTCTTGATAAATCTCTATTTTGTTGTAAAAGATTTTTTTTGTTTTGCAAGCTCAACTTGTTACGAACAAGTCAATTAGAGTTGCGAGATTTGTTGAAAAAAAAGATTTGTGCCCCAATTGCGTGATACAAAGCCTCCAAAGTCAATTCGATGACTCTTCTGTGCTCATCCCTTTTCCTCTCCGAATTTTTCTCTATCTTCTCAACTTCTTCAATCTTTCCTTTACCCAACTTGTTAGTTCTCTATTGTGCCGACCTTTTGAAACCCTTTCGACTCGAGCTTTTGGAGTTCTTTCCGTAAAATGGATGTTCGTTTTTTTTCTGGTTTTGATATTTCAACAAGCTATTGAAAAAGCGTAATTGAGTTATTATACCTATAAAGTTACTCTATTTTTCCATTAAAATCAACCTTTTTCCCGTGACTTCTGTCAAAAAGCTGTCAAAAACGAGTCAACAACGCATCCATTTTACCACATTTTCTTCTTCACACCAGCTTTTTCTTTATTTCATTATGACTCTAAATCTTTTTCTTAGAGTTTTATTTTTGAAAGAAGATACGAAATGACTTTCTAACTCTTCGAAATTTTATTACTAACCAATTTTTAGATATTTGTACCGATGGGGCAATGATTATTTAGATATTTTATCCCGAAATCTAGCACAATCACTAATCTAGCGAGAAAATCGAATAAATAGAATCAATCGTTGGTTTCAGTGTCAGTTTCAACTGATCTTTCTGATCTTTCTGATCTTTTTGATCTTTCTGATCTTTCTGATCTTTCTGTTCTTTCTGATCTTTCTGATCTTTCTAATCTTTCTGATCTTTCTAATCTTTCTGATCTTTCTGATCTTTCTAATCTTTCTGATCTTTCTAATCTTTCTGATCTTTCTGATCTTTCTAATCTTTCTGATCTTTCTGTTCTTTCTGATCTTTCTGATCAAATTTCTGATCTTTCTGATCTTTCTGATCTTTCTGATCTGTTCTGATTAGAGTGTGTTCATCGCGAGTAAGTAATTACTCGAGTCGAATTTGCCTGAGTAATCTTTACTCGTTTAATCAGCGTTTTTGGTCAAAGAAACTACGAGTAATCCTCTTTACACGTCGAGTTAATTGAATATCTTTACATTTGGCGGGAATTTCCCACCAAATCAGTTGAACGGTTGAATATCTTTAAAAGGAATCGTTTAGAACGCGCCAATTTTTTTGTACTTGTACAACTGTTTTAACTTGAAGCTAATTTAAAGGAATCCTGAGTTTAGAAAAACATTACTAATGTTTAAGATTTATAAACAAAGGCCTAAAAAATCGTTCTTTGTCTTCTCGGCTGTCAAGAATAGTGTGACCAGCCGTTCAATCACTCGCCCGAATCTCCCCTCTTTTCTTCTAAAGCCTACCCCACTACAACTTGTCTCTTTTTCCATTGGCGCTTCTCAATCCTAAGTTCTGATGAGTTTTTAATCTCAAATTTTGTCTTTCATGCAAAATTTCGCTTCATATTTGCTATTTTGCTTTATTTTGTTCAGCTTCTCACTAATTCTCGTCTAATTTCCTCAAAAAAAAAAAACAGGAACTACTATATGATTCCTATTGTGATTCCTAGCTGCTATAAATCTCATTTTTTTCAGTCTGAAGGAGAAAAATTAAAGGAAATTCTCGTTTCCTATAATTAGACGCGAGTCGGCTCTGTGGAATCCAGCTTTCTTCATTTCTTTCTTTTTTTTTGTGTGTAGAGTGGCACCAATATAGTGAGTGAAGTTATTCATCATTCTTTTAAAAAAGCATAAGCTTTAGTCTTTTAGATTTACTTTGATGTAAAGTTTCTCCAAAACTGTTTCCAATTGATAGCTTTCTTCTTCAAAATCAACTTTTTCAGGTTTAACTCGAAATTTCTATACACATTCGCTTAGTCAATTTTCTAGTCAATCATTTGCTTTTGCTTTGGACTTGCTTATTCTTTCCCTATAAATCAAAGGCTACAATTTTCGTGTTTTCCTTTTCCAATTCCTTTCATCACAAATTGTCCTCTTCTTCATCCAAATCGTTGCGTGACTACGGTGGATTTGTTGTAAAGGAAAAGCTAAGGAAATCTACATGTATAATGTGCAAATCTGTAGAATAGCTTCTAAAATTCTCATCATTTTTATTCAACACTTTTACTGTAATTCGAGTGTTTTTTTTTAAACAAGTTTACGATTACGTTACGTTAGATCACTTTACGAAGAATGAAATACTAGCAAATTCTCAGCACAAGTCAAATTTTTTACCTCTTTTTTTCCTTATTTCACACATTTTTATCGAGCTTCATCGGATTAATCTCTTCTTTTTTCTCTTCTTTTAAATCTTTTTCATGTAAAATCGCCTATTATTTCCCCCAACTAATATGAAATAAAAAAAGAGGTAGAAAAACTGAAGAAATGCGTGAGAACTGATGAAATGAAAAGATTTAAAGAAGTGAGAGAATGGGTGAACAGAAAGAGATCACAAGAAGGCGACTCTTCCCCATCAGATATCTCATCTCACCACATTCCATGAAATGGATTGACTAATGACTTCTCGAACTCCACCCCATTCTTTCACCACCATCATCACTTTCATTAGCGGTTTTTCTTTACTTTAAATCTTTTTCTTTATAAGCTTGAGTTGTTTTAAACTCGCAGTAAGCTTATAAGTGACTTCTGGTTCGTGAATCAAGGCCATAATTGTTTCAAAGGCAAGGCCAAGGTCAGCCAAAAGCTATCTGGTAGATTCTGGTCGACTCTTGACTGAGCTTGGTCTGACTTGGCATACTGTAGTTGACCCAAGAAACCGTAGAATTGAATCTTTGAATACTTGCCTCAACTTTCTACAATCGAAAATAAGATGCTATTTCATCTAGTTAAAGGAAAATGAAATTTTCAATAAAAGGGGAAATCGAGTGTGAATTTGAAAGAAAATGGATGAAGGGTGATGACCGATTGAAAACAAAAAGCCGGTTAACCTTTCCTCTCTCTCTCTCTTTTTCTCTGAGCTTGAGGTTGATTGTTGTAATAGGCTCTCTTCGCTTCCTCTTTTCACCTTAAATCCCTGCAACTTCTCTGAGGTGATCCCTTTCCCCTTTCCCCTCCCCTTTCCTTCGTCACTTTATAGGTCACCTTCCTTTCATTGAGACGCTTCCAATTCTCATTCAATCCCATTAACTATCCACTTCTCGTTTTTGCAACAGTTCAAATATTGTCTTCTTCTTCTTTTGTTGTTTGAGGTTTTTAATGATGCTGAATGTTTGATTTTGTTAATCTTGCTTATGAGCTTGATTTAGAGTTTGATTTAGAGTTTGATTTCTTTCAATATTCAATCTGAATCTAGAAAAATGAAAATGGTGTTTTTAAAGCATTCCACACCATCGCCAATTATCCTTTTTGTTTTCAAGAATTTTAGGAATTTCATTTTCCAGACTCTCAATTGTATGCTCAGTTTTATACTTAGAATTTGAAATGTTTATCCCTTTATCCGCGATTTTTCTTTCGTTTACCCAACTTCAGATTGTTTCATAAAGCGTTTCCCCTAACAAATCGTACTCTCAGGTGTAATGGTTGAAGTGTGGTTGATGCGGAGGAGATGATCGCTTTCTATTGGGGTTTCGGAATGGTGTGGTTTGTGGGGTTTCTCTCGTCGAATCTCCCCTCGACAAGCCATGCTCAATCGTGCTTCTCGTGTACCGGGATTTGCCACTCGGAGCCATGCAATTGCCAGGTGAGATCATATCTATTTGATCTAAATTTATGACTTGAGCACATCAATATCATTTCCAAAACATTAGCACTGTTCACATCACTTTCAAGTGGCCGGTTTTTTCCTTGAATTTCCCGGAATGAAATTCGATCTTCAACCTGTTGTCAAGCGTGCAAGTGTGCGTGAAAAAAAACCCTTGCAAAAAGTGATTGATGATCTGTTTTTTATTGCCTTCTGTGAAAGATATTGCAATTCTACTTATAATGAACTTACAATTAAGCTTAAGAATTTGAAACAAGATATCAATAAGCGAACTTTCCAGATGGGTTTGTGCAGTTCGGAGATGTGTTTCATTGAGCGAAAGCCTACCGAAATCAAAGGCTCATTTCGGATCACAAAAGTGAGCACAAAAGATAATATTATTCTTAAGGCTTAAAAGATAATATTTATTTCAAATTCATCTTGATATGAAATGTAGGGTAACCATCAATTCATTGAATCTAATTCATTGAAGAATTCATTGAATCTTCAGGGCTGTATCGAGAACCCGGCGAGAACTCAAGAGATATGCGATTTCGATCATTTCCCTGATCATCTACAATGTGTTTGTAGAGGTGAAATACTCAGCTTACTGCCTAAATTGTATTTATTTAAACTCTAGTTGATTGGAAACAGTTAAGCGTTGAAAGCTGACAATGAGATGGGATGTAGACTCTCTCTTAGAGTCTACATGTAGACTGACAATGAAATGGGATGTAGCTACATCCCATTTCATTGTCACTCTAATGTTCCCCTTTTTGATTCATCAAATTTTAACGATTACACTTGGATTTGATGAGATTTGAGATGAAAATCTTTGAAATTTCGATGTTATGAATGATCAATCAAAGCATGAGAATGTTGTGTAACATTGGCTCTCCCATCGAAAATATGATTGATTATAGGGAAAAGGATGAGAAGATTTTAGAAATATTCACTAAAAATAGAGATTAAACGAGAAAAAGAACGTGTTTGTCAATTTCATTTTTAGGTCATAACTGTAACGATCACATCTATTTGCTACATCAAAGTTTTCAATATCGAAAGAATATCACTTGCCGGAAATGCTCGGAGAGAGATCCCGACTGTGGGGATACCTGCTATGGGCATTGGTGAGTAAATTTGTTTTAATTATAACCCTAGAAAAACTATCATGTTGCGAAGGGACAGTAGGATTACGATAGGGAATTACGTCTCTTTCAAATATGCATAATATAATAATGCACTTGACAATCTGCCACCGGGACATATTCGCCATGTCATGTTTCATGAGTTCCTACAAGAGCACAGTGCAGGCTTGGCAGCTGCTAATGTTAAAAAGATATATGGGGAGGACTCACCTTCCGAAAGAACGTGTCGAGTAGGGTTTGCCAAGTTTCGATCTGGGGACAAATCTTTGAAAGAAGCAGAGGGCCGTGGAGTGGCACCCCAACTGGATGACTCCAAATTACTCAAACTTATTACCAACGACCATCGGGTGTCATGGCGTGAATTGGGAGAAGAGTTAGGGGTTGACCCTAAGCCAGAAGAAGTTTATGCTCTGCGTTTTCTGGGATATGGAGGGAGTGGTGGACTGGGAGTTGCTGGATAGCAAGACGATCGTTAATGCAATCAAATACAGTGAACAGTTGGGAAAGGTGTATCCCTAAAGAAGAATAGGCCCTCCAAGTCAAAGATCGTTCTCATCCACGACAACGCGCGCCCTCATGTCGCAAAACTGACTAGCTCTAGAATAAATAGCCTTGTTTGGGAACTTTTGACGCATTCCCCATACAGTGCGGACCTCGCCCCTTTTGATTACTATTTATTCCGGATCATGAGTAATGAGCTTGCGGGAGAACACTTCGATTCGGAAGAAGCAGTCAGAAATTGGCTTTGAGTTTTTCGATTCAAAACCAAAATCCTACTACGAAAGAGGAATCCGCAAATTGCCTGTAAAATGGGCAAAAGTCGTCAATAATAATGGAAATTATTTCGAATGAATTTATGGTTTTATGTTCAATAAATTTTAGTTCAAAGTCCCGCAGTTTTAAATTCACCAACCCAATAGTTCTAATAGGTTGATGCATAAGTCTTTTCGTTCCTTTTCGTCTGCCGTTTCAAGCCAACAAATGCACGAATTAAACTACGGTTGATTTCATTAGAAAAAGCAATTATTTTTCTGCAAAATAACATTAAAACGGGTTTAAAAATATTTAATGCCTGGATTTTCTTGAGAGTATGAAGTCGGGTAGTCAAAAAGGGCTAACTCGATGATGCGGTTTAGACACCTTAGCTAAAGAAAACCTATCTTCGTGTCAATAGATAAAAGATAGAGAAAAAAAACGTTTGATATTTCGCCAAAATTTCAGAGAAATTCATTCAGCCAATTTTTCCGTAGAGTTTTTTATAGATTTTTACGAAAAAGGCGTTTTTCACTCTCGAATTTGCTTGAAAGTGAACCGAAATTCATTTAAAAAGATGCAAATTGAACAAAAAAACACTTTTTTTATAGAGCAAACTATAGATTAATTGGTGAATTTGTTACTTTTTAACAGAAGTACGGAAAAAACGAAAAGACTTATGCGTCAACCTAATAGTTCTAGTTCTAGTCCTTGAACCCTAAATTAAGGCCCTAAAGGCCAGAAAGAGTACTTTTCTAAGGAAATCTTTTAGAAAATGCTAGAAAGTTTATCTTGAAGCTTTTAGGTGTCACGAGGATTCAGCCACTGGAGCATCCGGTTGTGGCTATGGTCCCCCATCACTTCCATTTTTCCATAAAGGACCCGAGCTTTTCTATCATACATCAAAGATTTGTGTGACAATGAGCAGGTAAGAGAGATTTACAAGATCATTATCATTTTTGTTAACTTATAGACTTATAGCTTATTTCCTTCTCTTTTTTTCTTTTCTCTTCCCCTTGTATTTGCTATTTCCTCTCTGGCAAAAAGATATCGGATAGCTGAGTGGTTAGAGCAATTGCAATTGAAAAGCCGTTCAATCATCTCTCCGGAAATCTTTCTTACCCATTCCTTACTATTTATTCTAGAGGCTCCGGTGTACCGCGACGACATTGCATCTGCAATCGACCTTACTGTAATCATGCAAAACAAGCATATCGGAATGCACAGCCGCCGTAAGTTGCCTAAAGTTCAATTTCCGATTGATAACAAATAAAAATAGAGTCTTTTTTCACATCACAAATAGAATCACAAATCCACTTTCAGTTCTCCCCATGATCTTCCCTTTCGCCAGTGCTATAATTGTGATGTGAACGCACAAGAGGCGGCGATCACCGCCTCGTGTAAACAGAATCGATGCATTGGCCATTATTGCACATTTGCTCGTCATCAACAACTCTTACCGAATGGTGCATTTAAGAGGTTTTTGAGTTTCACAGAAAACTTTTAGGTCAACAAATTACCTCGGAGAAGCAAGGATGTATGAATGTTTCTATGAGTAGTCAGGTGGGGGAAAGTTTGCTGTAAATATTGTAAAATCCTTAGAGAAAATCCTTAGAGAAAATCCTTAGATGTAAAATCCTTTTCAACGACACTTAATCCTGAAGTAAAAATTTTTGAAAGTAAACTACGCCCAAGCTATGTAAAATTGGTTATTGATCTGAAAAAAGACTGAATGTATCAAGTGGATTTCAAAAATTTTTGCTTAATTTCTAGATTCAACTCGGTTGCGCGAAGAAATGGCTACGTGGAGAATTCGTGGAGGAGTCGTGTGCTTGCAATAATTACGATTTATGTAATCGTGACGTCTACACAGCAGCCACCTCTCAAAGAAACCCTTTCCGACTTTTCATTTTGTTTTGCTTGATTCGGAATTTCTTTTAAGAGGCAACAATAAGGCAATATATCTTAAAGTCTTTGTCACATATCTTACAGTTTTCAAAAACCGTGAAGGAGTCGTGTGCTTGCAATAATTATGATTTACCGTATTTCTTCGAATAGAAGACCGGGTGAAGAGTATCATCGCGTACTCCTGCGGAGCAGCTCCTTTTAAAATTTCTTTTCTACATAAAAGCTTTCAATCAAGTGCTATAGAGCTGAAAAATGGCTCAAAAATTTGTTAGCTCATGTGGTATTTTTGAGTCATTTTCCAGCCCTATAGCACTTGATTGAAAGCTTTTATGCAGAAAAGAAATTTTAAAAGGGCTGCTACGCAGGAGTACGCGATGATACTTTTACCCGGTCTTCTATTCGAAGAAATACGGTATGTAATCGTGACGTCTACACAGCAGCCACCTCTCAAAGAAACCTTTTCCGAGTTTTCATTTTGTTTTACTTGTTTCGGAATTTCTTTTAAGAGGCAACAATGAGGCAACAATGAGGCAATATATCTTAAAGTCTTTGTCACATATCTTAAAGTTTTCAAAAACAAAAACCCACTTTTCTGTATCATTTTTGATCCATCAAAATTCAGGTGCTTGATGGTCCATCTTGATTTTTGTTTTTCTGTGATCTCTTCTCCTCTTTTTCTTTTCTTTACTTCTTTGTTTTTACTTCTCATTTTGATCCAATTTCACATTTCATGTCTTTCTCTCAATCATTTTCAATATTTCATTTCGATTTTTATCTTTTTCTACATAAACAAAACATATCCACGTAATAAACGTTGCTGTAAATACTTTAAAACTATTAATCTAGGCCTACTTTATGTTTAATAAACAAAATAAAACGAATTGCTTAACGAAAAATTAACGCGACAAATGGGTCACGCAACTCCAGGCGCTTGATCTAGCCTCCAGAGTATCGGATTTCAATGAACTTTTTTAAAAATTTAAAAGCCAACATTTTAAGCTATCTAATGATATGCATCACTTATTTTTCTTTTGAAAAAGTCGACCAAAAACCTTATCAAGAATTAACAAAAATAACGAGGAATTTTCTCGTCTCGGTAAGGTTTTTTTTTTCGGCTTTTGGGCCACTTTTTTTAAAAGAAAATTCTAAGTGATAGGTATCATTAGATAGCTTAAAATGTTGGCTTTTCAATTTAAAAAAGTTCATTGAAATCCGATACTCTGGAGGCTAAATCAAGCGCCTGGAGTTGCGTGACCCGATTTTTTTGATCTTTCACATTAAGTAAATCGAAAACAAATTATGTTTAAAAGTTAATGATTTAGATACCGTATTTTCTCCAATAGTAGTGCACCGTGAGCATCGCCTAAATTGCTCGAAATCTCGAGAACCGCTTATCAGAACCTATCGATTTGAGGTCGGAAAATGTAGCTGACGATGAGATCTTGTGGGGGATTTGAGAGTTGGACTTCTGGGAAAACTTGGAAACTGTAAAATAGTCATCAACTCGGCTCATGGGGAAATATTAGGGAGACAGATCGTTCTGATCTACTAGCCTAACCTGGAATAATATACCGGCTTCCCTCTAATAGTAGTGCACCGTGAGCATCGCCTAAATTGCTCGAAATCTCGAGAACCGCTTATCAGAACCTATCGATTTGAGGTCGGAAAATGTAGCTGACGATGAGATCTTGTGGAGGATTAGAGTGTTGGACTTCTGGGAAAACTTGGAAACCGTAAAATAGTCATCAACTTGGCTTGTCGGGGTGCACTACTATTAGAGAAAATACGGTAGTTTAAAATCTATAGTCTATAGTTGAAAAAATCTAAAATCTTATTCTTAGAGTATAAAGAAGTATTCAGTCAATAAACAATATCTTCAATTCAAATGCAAAAAAATGAAAATCATTTAACTTTTAAAACAATCTTTAAACAATATTTTTTTTCAAAATTCATTGAAAATCTTTATAAAATCTATTCATTTTTCAAATTTTCATTATTCATTATTCATTATTCATTATTTCATTCACTATTTCATTATTCATTACTCACTATTCATTAATTCTTTACACTTTTCATCATCGTGTTAACAAAAAATAAAAAAATATTGAGCTTTTTTTAGAGAAACAGAGAGTTTTATCGACCAAAAAGGCTCACGAAAAGAAACAAAAAACAAAAAAAACCTCAAAACAAACATATAAGAAGAAGGAAAAACTGAGAGATGCAGAGAAATTTTTTGAGAAAATCAAGGAATTTTCGAGAGAACTCGAGAAATTTTGAGAGAAAAATGGAAAAGAGCTCTCTTTCATCATTTGTGTTTGGGACTCTTTCCCACTTTTTTTTCTTTCTCCATTTTCCCCATTTTTCCCACCCACCGAAAAAATCGATCTCTTGGCCACATTGGAAAAGAAAATTTTTCATTACTCACATGTAGTTTAATTGTTTTTATGATGTATTTTGAAATCGACACTTACCGTAAATACTGTAATAGTACCCCAGCCCCATAATGACGGTGTGGAGTGTTGCGTAGTCTAGCTTTGAGCGAGTTTTTCTCGACACTGGTTTAAGCTAGAATGCTCGCTTAGGTATCAAAAAATAGCCCCGAATTTCAGCTATTTTTTGATACCAAAGACGCATTTTTTGAAAGTACGGGCGCTTTGAAAAAAAATGAAATACGAACAAACTTTTGCGACTACGCGACTGTACGAGGGCGGTGGGGTACTATTACAGTGTTTACGGTAACTATATTCCGTTCACCTTTTCATGCCATTTTTCTACAAGAATTTGTGTTGACTTTATTCAAAAAAAACTCTAGAATTCTCTTGAAAACTTATGAATTTTGTTTAAAATAAGTTTCATGCTTTGAATTAAACCCGAATTCTTTTTGCATTTCATTTTTCCTTCACAGAGAACAAAAGAACAAAATTAAAACTTCTATTTTCCAAAAAAAACTAGCGCTTTACAAAAGGTTTATGCGATTCGACAATTTGTAATGTTACTTTGTGTAATGAAATGCTTTATTTTTTAATGCAAACCGGAGAAATCATTTCTTCGAATCGTTTCCCCCTTTACTCTTCCTTTATTCCCTTTTTTAGCCTTTTAGTAGAGCACTTTTGGTTGAGCAATTTTCACAAGTTTTTCTATAAAAAGAAAAATGCCAACTCTTTAGAATTGATTTTTCCTCTAGAATACCTCTTCCCGGAAAATTTCTAAATCAAGATGCTTTGCTCGTCAAAAACCGCAATAGCAAATGTTTTTAGTGGGTGAAGCTTAATTGAAAGTATCAATTCTCAAAAAAACAACGCTGTACTTTATTTCGAAAGCTGATTTAATCATATTTATCTAAAACAAACTTTAATTGGTAAACTTTGAGAAAAAATTTTGTACGTGAACTTTCTAAGCTTGCCAGAGTCGCTTTCTAAGTCGCTTTTGTTTCGAAAACTTGCATCTATTCGCATCTATTCGCATCTATTCGCATCTATTCGCATCTATTCGCATCTATTCGTCATTTGAATATACAATTTATGAAATTTTTAGTAGCTAAGTCATTTTGAAATCGCGAAAACCCGCGCTTTTTCTCTTGTTTTCGGAAAAATTTGCCATTTTCCCACAAAGCGATGAGTCATTACCGAGATTTCGCTCATTTTTCTACCCCTTGGCCTTTTTTTGCAGAAAAGACGTTTTTTATTTCAAAATATCCCCATCCTAGACAAGATTTCAATGCTGGCTAAAAAGTTGACGAAAACTTCAACAAAGTTTTCTTTCTTTACCTCTTTTGTCAATCTTTCCAATAAATAACCATTTCTTCACCTGTTTTTCCTCTTTTCTTTACTAGAAAAATTAGATAAGAATTGTTTATTGATATTTATTTATTGAAATGGTTTTGATTTTGATTTCTTTGTTAATGTGAATATTTTTTTTCAGAAATGGACATTCGAAAGTTGAAAGAGGGTGAGGTGATGCGCTTTAAGAAGCAACTTTTGGGGAGTAAATGGAAGAAAAATCATCTCATTCTTTTCTCGGATTCTCGTTTATGCTGGTACGATGAAAAGGTTGGTTTTATTAATGGTTTTTTTAGCTTTTGCACTTGTAGACTTTAGAATTAGGTCTGATTGAGCCAGCATCTGGTTTTTTTCACTAAATTCATTTGAAACTTTTCTTGGACGTGTCAGTTTTAAAGGAAATTTGTGTACAAAAATGTTTGACTGATGAGTATTCTGAAATTCTTGAAGTCTAAAGCTGAGCACAATAAAAATTCAACTTTTAGGGAGATCGAAAACCGGCTGGGAGTGTCCTGTTGAAAGATGTGGTCCCGTACATTTGTGTTGGTTTGATGACCGATCGAATGCCAAGTAATCATTTGAAATATATTTTAAAAATTTACTAGGCAGTATTTCTTACAGTATTTACAGTATTTCGAGTATTTTACATTTATCTCTTTCAGCCAGACGTCCCTCTTTACCCGACGGTCACTCCGTACATCATTTGGTCGGAATCGGGCTTGATCCGCGCGCCGAAAATGTGCATTGGTTGCTTTTTGCGAGTGATGCCGATTTGGAGTGAGTTTTAGAAAAGCACAACAGGTTATCAGAATTGCGTACGGAGCTTAGCGTCACTTACAAATTTACGTTTTTAGAGGCTGGTTCACGGAGATCATGAAAACCCTTCCGAAGCCGAATCCCCCGCCACAAGCCGCGCAAGGCCCACCACCACCTGGACAATCACAACAAAATGGAGCTTATGGTATCGTTTAAAAGATTTAGATTTAGTTTAAAAGCTTTAAGCTTTCTAAATTTAGAAATTTTGAAAGCTTACAGAGTTAGAGCTTTCTTTATCTCAATTTTATCCACCCTGTTTGTTCTGATCCTGTTCGCATTCACAAAGGAAATTGAAACAAACCAAAAGTAGACAGATTAGACAAAAATAGAGACATGATTATCATAAGTTTTGAAAGTTGACACGTTTTAGAAAACTCCAATAATGATTTTATCATTTTAGCGCCACCGGGAAAGTACCCAGACGCTCCGCCACAGGCTCCTAACACGTATCCTTCGAATCCTCCAATCGCTGCCGGTGGATATCAACCACAGAGTAAGAACATCTTTGACCTTTTTTTATACTTTGTTTTTATTTAGCCTACAACCCGGGACCGGCTCCTCCACCCTATGCGGGCGCTCAAGCATACCCTAGCCAACCACCGCCACCCGGTGGATATACTGCACCTGGCCACAATAACGGAGGCGGGTATTACGGTGGAACGCCTTCTCACACGACTGGTTGGTTGGCTTTAGGATTCATATATCTTTGTCACTTTTAGTGATCGTGCAAGATCGTGGTGGCTATGGAGGCGGTGGATATGGTGGTGGCGGCGGTTTCGGGGGTGGATCGGGTTTGGGTTTGGGATCCGGACTGCTCATGGGATCACTCCTTGGATATGGTGGGTTAAAGTGAGAGCTGAAAAAGAAGAAAAACTTTTGCAAACATTTATCGACTCCGAATTTTGCATATTATAGCTTTTCATAATGAAAAGACTCGGATTTGCGAGAAGAACCGATTTATGTCACAGTTCTTAACAAATTACTCATGTCAGCCGCAAGAAATAGGCAAACTTGAGGTGTAAAACCATTTTCCAGGAGTTGGCAGCTTTTTCTCTCCAAGCTATCATAGCTGGGGCGGTGGCTGGGGAGGCGGTTACGGCGGTGGATATGGTGGATATGGTGGAGGCGGTGGATTTGGAGGTGGATACTATTCGGTGAGTTTTCTCTACATCCAATTTTGATGAACTTCCAACCATTTCCAGGACAACGATACAAACATCACCAACAACTACTACAACTATGGCGACTCGGGCAACAACACCACCGCACAGAGCACCAACGATCAAACGACTTCGAGCAGTGAGCCTGTTGGGGTGAGATTGATCTATCTAAAGAATATCCATTCTATTTTATATTTTCTTTACTAAACGATACTCTTTAGGATGGTCAAGACACACATTACAATGACTACGATCAGACTGGAGACAACTACGGAAGTGGGGATTACGGTAAGACACAAAAATTAAATAAGAATAAACAAAGTATAAGTCTATTGACCAATTGACTAAAAGTACCGTAAATATTCTAATAGAAGAGCCTATAAAAGCACTTTCTAGGGCTATTTCTACAACTATCTCTATTATTAGGTTGATGCATAAGTGTTTTTGTTCCTTTTCGTCTGCCGTTTCAAGCCAACAAATGCACCAATTAAACTACGGTTGATTTCATTAGAAAAAGCAATTATTTTTCTGCAAAATAACATTAAAACGGGTTTAAAAATATTTAATGCCTGGATTTTCTTGAGAGTATGAAGTCGGGTAGTCAAAAAGGGCTAACTCGATGATGCGGTTTAGACACCTTAGCTAAAGAAAACCTATCTTCGTGTCAATAGATAAAAGATAGAGAAAAAAAACGTTTGATATTTCGCCAAAATTTCAGAGAAATTCATTCAGCCAATTTTTCCGTAGAGTTTTTTTATAGATTTTTACGAAAAAGGCGTTTTTCACTCTCGAATTTGCTTGAAAGGGAACCGAAATTCATTTAAAAAGATGCAAATTGAACAAAAAAACACTTTTTTTATAGAGCAAACTATAGATTAATTGGTGAATTTGTTACTTTTTAACAGAAGTACGGAAAAAACGAAAAGACTTATGCATCAACCTATTAGAATTTCTACGGTAATCTTTAGGGAATGGCTGTAGGCAACTTTTTTTTTTGTAAAAGTGCTTAAAAACCGGACTAAACCAAGCTAAACGCTAAAGAAATTGCTGAGCTTTGGTTTTGGGTTAACCCTGATCGATTAAAGCACAAAATACATTTAAAAAGAAAGCTTAAAACAAGATCTTTCAGGCAATAATGACTATGGAGATGGTGGAGATGGTGGTGGTTTCTTTGATTCAAGCGATGTAGGTGGAAATGATTTTGGTGGTGGAGATTTCGGTGGAGGTGATTTCGGCGGCGGAGATTTTGGTGGAGGAGACTTTTAGCGCGGTTTATGCGAACTATTGTACATGAGATTGCTATGATTCAATTGCTAAAAAGGGAATCGTCATCAAACGAAATCCCTTTGAACGACGATTCCCTATATCAAATTCGATTCATTTAAGTGCCATTTTTCTCTAAAAGTGTCCATCTTTTTTCCGCATGACTACATGTTTTGAAATGAAAATTTCTATTCTTTTTTCATTTTTTTCATTTTTTTCATTTTAATCATTTTTTTTGCTTGTTTTGCTCCAGTTCTACTTGCTTTCTTTGCCCAAATCCTATATGCAAATATTTCAGTGCTTTTTTTTCTTTTCTTGATCTCTTTATCTTTATCTTTACCTTCTAACTTCGAACTTTTTCTAGTCTATTACGTTTTTGAAAAGCTTTATTTCACTCAAGCGTTAATAAAGTGTGCATAAATTTTCTTCGTACAAATACACGATACAAAGTTCTTGAAATATTTTTTTGAGTCATCTTTTTAGAAGTGAATCGTTTTTTAGAATCAATATTGATCAAAAATAACATTGAATTCAGAAAATACAAATATTTTTCACCCTAGGAAAGTGTTTTTACACACGAAATTAAATGCTAAAGGAAATTTTTGATAATTGAGGGAGTTTTGATAATTTTTTGTGAAAATTAGTTTTCTAAATTTAAAAATACTTGAAATTTTTGAATTCAATGATATTTTTAAAAAAGGATTCTTTAGTTAAGTTATTCGTTAAGTTATTCTTTAGCTATTCTTTAGTTAGTCTTTAGCTATTCTTTAGCTAGTCTTTAGCTAGTCTTTAGCTATTCTTTAGCTATTCTTTAGCTATTCTTTAGCTATTCTTTAATTAGTCTTTAGCTATTCTTTAGCTATTCTTTAGTTAGTCTTTAGTTAGTCTTTAGTTATTCTTTAGCTATTCTTTAATTAGTATTTAGCTATTCTTTAGCTATTCTTTAGCTATTCTTTAGTTAGTCTTTAGTTAGTCTTTAGTTATTCTTTAATTATTCTTTAATTAGTCTTTAAAAGTTTAAGAACTCTATACTCTGTACACTCAATAAACCCGATTTCAAGAACAGAAGAAAATTATTGTAAAAACCTCAGAGACTATTTTTACCCGTAAAATTTTTCTTTCAGAAAGAAATTGATGAAGAAAATAAAGGAAATAAAGAGAAAATAGAAATCGATCATACGCCTCATTCTTTTGGTTGCAATTGTCCATTCAGTGCCAACTCTTTAGCGTGATAACTGTGATACAAATAGTAGACCCAATAGACAACGTTGAGAAGGGTGAACGAGGCTGGGAAGAGCTTGCTGAATAAAAAAAAAACGATTTTCAACATTTTAAACATCGCATCACTAATTCGTTTTCACGATTCATTTCCACAAATCCTACCGGCAAATGCGATCAATTCTCTCAGCTGTCCATTGTGGCTCAGGCTCGTCCTCACTCAAAAGTCCCATTGTTGCCAATGCATGTAAACTCTCGAACATTCGATTCACATCTTTTGGCGGCTGGCTCTCCTTTCGATTCCCGTTTTCTCGAATTTCCTGTATTGTGTTTACTTTTTTGATATTCGGAAGAGATTATTAGGGATCATAAAGATTGCGCCGAATGAAATTGCCATTTACCCGAACCTTTACTTTTTGCAAGTTTGCTATCAAAATGTAGCCCTTCAATTAGGCTACACGATGGTCTAAATACTTTTAGAAAAACTGTTGCTTAGTACAAGAAAAATGACCCCAAAGTGAGAGGTCGCAATTGCGATGTACAATCGGTGCTCTCACTTTGCGGCCATTTTTCTTCTGCTAAACAACAGTTTTTCTAAAAGTTTTTTAGACCATCGTGTAGCCCAATTGAAGGGCTACATTTTGATGTCAGACTTGCACAAAGCTAAAGCTCTGGTAAATGATAATTTGGCGCAATCTTCATGGTCCGCAAATTAGAGTGTTGAAGAGAGCAGCTATGTTAATTCCGCCCTCTTTTTCAGTCTGTTTATTTTTGGCAATCTATTTTGTTCGTATCTTTGCCGGGTTTGTTTGAAAAAACGTTGAATTTGCTTTCATTTGACTCGAACTGAAATTTTCTAACGAATGAAAGCAAATTCAAGGTTTTTCAAACAAATCCCGATCAAGATACGAGTAAAATTCGTAGATTGCCAGCAGCAAACCGACTGAAAACGGAATGGAGTTAACATACAGTACTGGACAATGAAATATCATATTTGAAAAACGATCGTCACTTTCGCGCGTCTGTAACTCCCTTGTCTTTGAGTTTAAACTATTAGTGTTATAAATTTTCTGAAAGCTCTTTTCAAGGGCTACACAATGGTAATATTAATATTTAGAAATACGGCAAAGACAAGGGAGTTACAGACGCGCGAAAGTGACGATCGTTTTTCAAATATGATATTTCATTGTCCAGTAGTGTAGTTGATAGAAAAGAGTTGAATCCATTTATTCTCTGAATGATTTATTTGCTACAAAAGCTACAAAAGCAAATGAATCATTCAGAGACTTGTTTGAAGTGACAATGCTCAGACATTTCAATTGAAATTGCTAATTTCATCAAAAACTAAAGCACAGCTTGTTTCCCCCTCGTCACTCACCGTGAATGGATCCTCTTTCTCCGTTCTCACATCAGCTTCCATTGCCACCTCATTGCTGAACGTGACTGCCCCATAATTGTGTTTGATCTCTTTGTGCACAGTGTGCTTGCGTTTTGCGCTTTTACTGAAATAAAATCAAAAATTGTAACTGATTTTTTGGTTTTAACAAGACCCTTTTAACTTTTAACTGAATACATCAACTTTGACTTGTGCTTGACAAGTTTTAAAAGCTAAATCCAAAGCACTGGATCAAAAATTTTGAAAAATTTGAGCTCACTGCATCAGCTATGAAAGCAATAAGGATTCCTTGTAAAACAAACTTCTTCAGAATATCGATTCGTTTCTCTTTGTCCGCTGCTCTTCTCTGTTTCCTCTCCTTGTTGTTTTGCCCGTCAATATAACTAAAACAGTTTTTTTTTTGTTTGTATAGTAAAGCCTTATTTCACTCACCATATCAAAGCCACTTCAATCATCGTGAAGAAAATGAAGCTAAAAAGGATTCTTTCAAATAAATCGATGTTTAAAGCTATGTTTAAATCTACCCGGTGGCTAAGCACATGTAGACGTCAATCGATTTCACGTAGCCAACTTTCGGCAACGATTTTGCCACATTTCCATACTAAAGATTAAGATTGAAGGATTATTTCGATACGATTAAATATCTATAATGAAAGCGAGCTTTTATTCTGACTTCGATTACAGTAGTTTAGCTTTTGAAAAATGTCACAAATCACCTGAAAAGTCAGCGCCATCAACGAGCTCACTCCAAGTGTTATTCGAGCCGGTAAAGCCTGCGTTTTGAATGAAATATTTTCAAATAATCAATCTTCAAATCTTTACCTTTACATCAATCCAAAATGAGACAAATGACAAAAAAACGGAGGAATATGTAGGCATGTACATTTGAAGAATATAGAACCCGTACGCGCGTGAGAACGTCAATGCGACTGTTAGCTGAAAAAAGTCTATTGAAATAAACTCTTTCTGGTACATTTTATCTTTTGAAGTACGCTAGAAAGATGGTGTTTCGATTTACTTTCTTTCTAGATTCCTTTCCTTACCTGATCCCATTGCCCGGCGGCATACTCGAAATTATTCTTTGTCCATTGCATTCCATACAACGTGAAGTCGGCGAGTTTCGATTTTGCTATGGAAAACACCTGAATGTTGAATTGAGACTGGCATTTGGATTGATAAAATATGTGGATATTCTTTCAAATAAATGAAAAAAGACGACAAAAGCAGAAATCTCTCACCGGCGCCCAATCTCTCCAATTCAAGACGACTTTGGCCGAGTTGAACGCGTAGCTTTCGATCACCAACTCGCAAACCATTACGTCCATCGGAAAAAGGGAAAGATCTACCTAAAGGGTTATTTTGGGAATAGGTAGTTGAAAGTTAAAGAAGGAATACGAAGTTTTGGTTTAGAAAATACAGGCAAATTTGGGGCAAAAGAGTTTTCCCAAAAGATTTGGGCATATTGACGCCTTAAAAAGTGGGCTCAGTCGCTCTGCGCTCCTTTTCTTTTAGGAAAAGGAAACACCTATCTATCGGGGGCATGTGCGAGTCGGCCAGCGATTACCCGGCAGCCAAAGAACACCTCGCCAGTCACTTTACACAGTGATTTTTCTTTTGCTTTGTATCTATAAAATGAAGATACAACTGTCAATTCAGCTGTAAATTTGTACTCGGCGGGTTTTCGAATGGTGCAAGGTACTCATCTTTCATCCTTTTATATCTGATAAATGTTTGATAAACCAATGATCGAACAACTCCCCAATTTACTTTACCAGTTTACCTTACTTAAAAATCTCCATTTCCTGAGCTGTTGACAGATTTTTTTTGAGCTCACCTGACACGGTCCAATCACTTGCAATCGATAGTTTACCCAGACAGTTCCATTTGGGTAAATCATGAGGAAAATATTCGGGGTCGGCGATGAATGGATCTCGGTTTTCTTTGAGTTCACAAAGCACACATTTGGCGTCCACAATGAGTCCACCATTTGATAGCCAAGAGTGAGATTCTGGGAATGAATCTTAGTACGATAGCCCGACAAAAATCTCACCGCTAAACACGGAGTGATATGATCAAAACGAAGGCGTGGATCGTGCCAGATTTGACTTAAATTTAAGGAGATTTTTTTGAAGATAAAACATCACTTTGATAAGATTGCTTTTAAATTTCAGTTTTGAAATCTTTTTATTTGATTTACCTGAATAACAAATCGAGCGTAATACTCGACGTGATCTCAGAAATATGACCGAAACTTTGAATGACGAACTCGATGATTACAACTGAAATTCGACAATTCTAGAAGAGTTTTTTATATAGCTTTTTTAGCTTTTTTTAGCTTTTTTAGCTTTTTTTAGCTTTTTTAATTATATCTATTAGGTTGATGCAT